ACTGATCTGTGGCTTGCAAAGGAAGACCGACAGAACAAATCAGTCAACTACCCCAGTGATTCTTGACAGCAAATTACTGGGCAAATGGAGACAAAGGTGGAACATGTCAGCCAATTGACATTAGAAAGATTTTCTCATCCTTGGAGTGGAGATAGCAACAGCATTTCAGAACTACTAAAACCACTTGAGCAGAACCCTCAGAACATGCTCCACAACACAGACCTTGGGATGACATCGGGAACTCGGGAGACTGGGAGTAGTCTCTCCATTGTATCCTCTCCTCCCACAGATACAGGAAGAAAAAAATGAAAATGTGGGAACAATGGTTTTGCCCACTTACCCCTGATCCTCGATACTTCCCACACTGATCAATTATGCAAACATCATCAAAAATAAAACTTTTAAATTTAAAGCAATATAAATAAAAAATGGCAATTTAGTCAGAGGGTCCTATTTATCAGTTCAATTGTATGAGTTTTAAACATATAAATAACTCAGAAGGTGTTTTTTTTTCAACATGCTCTGGTTTTTAATTATAAATCAATAAGTTATAGTGCTCTAAATTTTATGACATTAGATTTCATAGGATAACAACTTCAGAGACATATATGTAGAATTCTGATACTAAACTTCTCAGTTATCTTTTTTGGGGGGGAGAAAAATACAATTTATTTTGATCTTAAATATCTTCAGAATAGATTATTTCAAAAATTATAACTATGTAATTGGAAAAATGATCATTGTACTGATTTTAATTTTAACCTGAATTTTTGACATTATTAGTTCTGAAAAATTTAGATACATTCATTTTTAATCTGTTGATGATCTTCAGAACTTTTAATTTACAATGAAAAGAAATCTATCAACTATCTCTACAAAGACTCTCCTTGCAAGTTGCGTATTCATTAACAATTTCCATAGAGTCAAAGATGATGAACCTAGAAGAAAAAGAAAATGAGCACTCAATATGCTTGCAAACATTTTAAAAGACTATTGGGTAATATGTAATGCAGCAATTTTATTTAATTTCTTTTCCAATAATTCTGTGGTAAAATAAACTATCTCATCGTTGTATTATTTTCAGTACTGTTGGACAATATCTGACTTGCAAACTCATAAATAATAATGTAGAAAAGTACACATTGAGTGCCACTGTTGTATTAACTTGCAACAATAAATAATGTCCATAATTATGATGATTCATTAAAAGAGACACTATTTTCTTTCAAGCAAGTGAAATGGACAAAGCCAATTTGTGAAAAATTCTCCAAGAAAAATTTCCAGTGCTGAAATGAGATGGTGTGTCCCTCATGCATATGCAAGAAAGGTGATGCCGAGCTGAAATGTGGCATCACTGCCATTACTTGAATAAGGAGAAACATTAGTTGCATAGTATTTATCATATTTGGAATTTTTGTTAGTATAACAAATGCAAAGTTCAAGAACATATATTTCAATGCATAAAAAGAGAAATATCAACCCGCTTGAGATGTAGCAAAATAACACTGAAAGGGTTAATGATCTTACATTCTGCATGAAGGTTGCCCTATATCAGAGAGGACATATGACATTTACCCTGCAGGGATTGACAGTTAGGGAGATTGAGCATGTTTTCACATGTATATTAGCCACTTTGATTTGTTTTTTGAAAAATATCTGTTCATTTCCTTCACCTATTTCTTTACAAAGTTGTTTCTCATTATTTTCCTCACTGTCTCATAGGTCACACAATAGCATCATTTGCTTCAAAAAGGTCTTCAATTAGATGTCAGGTAAATACCAATAAATTTGTGGCTCTGCCTAACTCCAGTGATTTTGGCCTATATTCAGAACCCTACTAACACCTGCTGGCATGGATGTGGGAAGAAAGTTACCCTCCTTCACTGCTGTTGGGAGTGTAAGCAAGTATAACCTCTACGGAAGTCAGTATGGAGACTGCTATGGTAATTGAAAATTGATCTGCTGTATGACCCAGCCGTTCCACTTCTGGAAATATATACAAAGGAAATGAAATCTGCATACAAGAAAGGGATCTATAATCATATTTATAGCAGCACAATCTACAACAGCAAAGATATGGAAACAATCCAGATGCCTGACCAAAGACGAGCAGATAAAGTGACTGTGGTACATCAGCTTAGTGGAATACTATTCATCCACTAAAAAGAATGAAATTCTACCACTTGCAACCAAATAGTCCCAATTAGGCACCATTATGCTTGGTGAAGCAAGTCAATCCCCAAAGGACAAAAATCATATGTTTTCTGATATAAGGCAAACTTTATGCAAAATATGAAATCAATAGCCCTTTCAATACTGTTTTTGCTACATCTCAGGAGACTTGGTATTTTTTAATACATTAAAAAAAAACCTTTTTCTTTTCCTTATTAATTTCCTCACTGACTCATAGATCATACAACAACATGGTTTACCTCAGGAAGGCCTGATTTTTTTCATTTCTTCAGCGACATATTGGTCATCCAGTAGCATGGTATTTAACTTCATGCTGCGGTAAATTTTATATTTTTATCTCTGTTGTTGATTTTGTTTTATGGCTTTTCATTGAAGGGGATGTATAATAACTGTGTAGTAGAGACTATCTCATGTAAATGTGAGGATGCAATGCAGTATGCATCTCTATTTCCAAATCAAAGACGAAATCCCAATGAACCCATTAAATGTATCCTGATAATAGGATGGCGCTCTCTCTGCTACTGACCATGCCTACACTGTCAAGATAGGTTAAAACAGCAGAATGGTGGACTTATGACTGATTGTAAAGGACTACAGTGTTGTAACAACAGGTATAAATTGGTCGGGGTGTGGGCATGGATATGAGGACGATGGAAGGGAAACTCTGGAGCCTATGGAACTGTATCATGGAATATTAAGATAAGCATGATTTTTAAAAATATATATATATATAATTAATTCATGTTTAATTTTATTCATTATATCTCTACAATTAATTTTTCTTGAGAAACATATTAATGTTTTTCATTATATTGCGAGGTTTTGATTTGATTCAGAAATTGGTGCATTTTAAAAATTAGAAATGCCATTGCTTCTCAGCCTTTTGGCTAAGATCAAGCACAAAAATGCAAATGATATGCTAATTTACCAAACGATAATCATAGATTCCTCTTTGGTTGTTTGAAATTTATATTTTTTTTATTTGAAATCAGAGTTAGAGAGAGAGAGAGAGGAAAAAACAGAGAAAGAGATCTTGGATTCACTGGTTCACTCTCCAGATGGCCACAGTGGCCAGAAGTGAGCAGATTTGAAGCCGCGAGCTAGAAGCTGCTTCCAGATCACCCACATGGGTAAAGGAGCCTGACACCTTGGGCCATCCTTGTTCTTTCCCAGACATTATCAGGAACCTGAATCTGAAGTGGAGTGGTAGAGACAGGAATTGGGGCCTATATAGGATGCTGGTACAAAAGCAGAGGATTAACACGATATACCACTAAGCTTGTTCCAGAATCCTTTTGCTTTTACTTTGTTAAGAATCCATCATGTGAAGGATTAAAGAAAATCATTTCTTACATGATAACAGTGTTGGATTGAAGGAATTAAGACAAGTCAAATTGAGAGTAATTTGTTGATCATGGCAGGATTTTTCTTTTGAAACTTTTCTGCTTTAAGTTGAAGAACAAAGTAGAAACAAATATACTTTATATGATTCTTACCTGTCAGTTTATGTGTACTGGAAACAATATTTACACCTGACAGCAATGTGTTCTGAAGAGACGTAAAGTCACTGATAAATGGGGCCACATCAGTATCAAGAAGGATTCGTGGTGGCAGGCCTTTCTGGGCTTCATGCACTCTAATCATGGTTGTAGGAAACCGAGATGCAGCTAAATATTCCACAATCAATGTCCAGTTTTTACCAAATTCTTCTTCTGGTTTAGAATAATAGGCATATCTAAAAGACATGATAAAATGTACATAATTGCACTTGTCAAAATTTTAATCTGGCTTCATTCTCTAAAAATTATCTTTTATGAGTAAACTAAATAAATAATTAGTTAAATGACAGATTTACAAAGCAATGTCATCCATTCCTCATAAGATGAAGTTCTAAATAACATAAACTTTTTGAGCAAGTAAGGTTTATCTCAACAATTCAATATACCATATTTCGCATTTTGTGTCATTGGTATAGGCTCATTATACTATGTAATAACCAGATTTAAGACCAGGACCCAGTAATACTCTATGGAGACATAGAAATGAATGCCACTTTTCTCAAGCAAAACTTTTGCTGGATGTAGAAATACTTCAAACAACTTTTGAACTGAATTTAAAGGACACTCAAAAAAAGCATTTGGAAGTAATAGATGTCTGATTCTTTCATCTAATTTTCTAATCATTGGTCTTTGTTTCTACTGGAGAACAACTTAGAAACTCTTTCACATAGTTAGGAAACACATTATCATAAGGAAAAGTTAAGCATATGGAAAATAATGATGTAACCATACAATTGGTATCACTGGTCCCTATTCACTATCTAAGCATGTTGAGCAACTTGCTGTTTGCAAGCACACTTCTCTCTGAGTCATTATGTACTCCATACTTGGCTCATCAAATATGTTCTCTTTTATGTGCCATCATTGATGATACTACCTATTTCATAAAGTTTCTAACCTATCTATATTGAAATCAACAACTTCTTCCACTTCTATAATTCTACAATAAGTGTATCATACACATATCTAAAGTTTGTCTTCTCATTGTATTTTAATTTGACATCTGTAAGTTATATTACCTATTATTTGGACAGCTCATAGATAAGATCCTTGTTACAAAAGAGCATTGCATTACACTTCTCAGTGAACTCTGAACACATTCACTGTCCCTTCAAATCCCATCCTTCCGGGAGCCTACCTGCCCCCATTCCTGGAAGCTGTCGTGTTTACAGAGTTGGAATGCTAACAGAATTGGTTTAGATTGATTGCTCCTTAATACATCACAGTTGTCCGTCAAGTAACAATGAAACAAAAGATGAATTCCACGAGGATTTAGAGCCAGAGCCATTGTGCCCAAGTAAAAGTAAATTAAATTAAAAGAGATTCAAAAGTAGTAGCAAAGGGGAAAAGAGACAAAGATATGGGATTAATCAATAGACAAATGAGCAGAAGTGAAATTCAACAGAAACTTTTTAATATCTTCTGTTGTATAATTTATTTTTTAAAACCCTGATAATAAGCTTTGCCAATACTAGATTCAAGGCTTTTTATCACTGACATTCCTTGTCATTTGTCATAGTAATAATACTTTATATTGTACACTTTTATATACAAGCAGTATATTAAGCCCAGTGCAGGAATTTCTTAACCCATTCTCAAAATCATCCTACATAGCATGCGCTATTATTGCTGCTCTTCAAAAATAAGTAATAGTGTTGAATTTCCCATTCAGAGAACTTGGCAAACCAGAGCCTCATCAATAGGTACATTAACAAAAAGAAAAGTGCATGAATTGGCAATTGAAATAATTTGTAATAATCATTAAAACACCTCCTTTACACTAGTGAAATTTAAGAAAGGCTCAAATTTCCTGAAGATGCATTATCAAACTTTCCATAGACGTGGATGGAAGAAACATATTTGAACCTCCATTTATACTGAATCTAAGTATATATTTACTCCACATACCAAAAAAGCGTAGTGTTCTTAAAAGATCCCAACTAAACAAATTACAAAAGTTATCCTTATAAAAGGCTGATATTAAAAATTCTTTCACCTTTTTTAACTTATCAAAGCCCTATTAAGACATCAATAAGTAGGAAAAAATTCCAAAGCCAGGATAGAAGGAAGTTGAATATGAAATAGAAGTACTTGAAAAGATTTAATAGAAACAAAATTAAATCCTAAACAACAAAAGGACACTGAGAAACAATTTTGACATAATTTGGAAAACCACCCACAATTTAAGAATGAGGAATATTTTGTCATTAAAGAGAGATTGCCAAAATCACAGTGATTGAAAATTTGTTAAGGGACACTCATGCATAATATTCCCTCTCAGACTTCAACTATTGGGTACCTGCTGCCCGTGACACCAAAAATGGTAATGTATGGAGTCACCTACCAGAGACAAGTAGTCACACTTACAGGCAGAAACAGCTTAAAAACAAGGGATTTCTCTCCTTGCTTGTAGGGTCTCTTCGGAGAAGTCAGCAGTGATTCTGATGGGTTTTCCCCTGTATGTGATCTTTTCTCTACTTCGTACTTGTCTCAGGATTCCTTCTTTGTCTTCATTGGAGTAGAACTTGAGCACCGTGTGTCTGGGTGAAGATCTCTTTGGATCATGTCTGT